CAGGGATAACAGCCCCTCCCAAAATTCCACCATGTCTAGTCTCTGGCAGGGATTACAGCCCCTCCCAAAAGCCCACCATGCCCAGCTGCAGGCAGGGATTACAGCCCCTCCCAAAAGCCCACCATGCCCAGCTGCAGGCAGAGATTATAGCCCCTCCCAAAAGCTCACCATGTCCAGCTGCAGGCAGGGATTACAGCCCCTCCCAAAATTCCACCATGTCCAGCTGCAGGCAGGGATTACAGCCCCTCCCAAAATTCCACCATGTCTAGTCTCTGGCAGGGATTACAGCCCCTCCCAAAAGCCCACCATGCCCAGCTGCAGGCAGGGATAACAGCCCCTCCCAAAAGCCCACCATGCCCAGCTGCAGGCAGGGATAACAGCCCCTCCCAAAAGCCCACCATGCCCAGCTGCAGGCAGGGATTACAGCCCCTCCCAAAAGCCCACCATGCCCAGCTGCTGGCAGGTTCAAGAAGTTTCAACAGCAACCTCAACCTGGCATGTCATTAGTTTTCCTGCTGACTGACTTTCTACCCCACAAGGACATCACACAAGCGATAAACACCCAATGACACAAAGTGCCACCATGCGGATGAGGATCGCCGTGGAGAGGTCCCAGAAACCGCGTTCAGACATTTGGCCATATTTATGGCCTGCCTATATTGCGGCCCCCGGCAAAAGCCAGGGTGGAGCTTCAAATAAAAAATTTCATCCTGAAAAGGACGATAATGATAGTAATAATAAGAATTATTATTCCTTTTTAACCAATGGGATACGGTCACATGCCCTACAACTGTAGGTTCTGAGGCTGATGGTTCAAATCTGAGGTCCCACAGACCCCAACAATGAGTACACAAAAAGCCAAACAAGAAACGAAACAAAACACACTGATGTGGGACAAGTTTGCAGCCATACACTAAAGAAATCTGGATCCCCAGTGGAGATTTTCACTGTTCATTCTTGTTTCTTGACCAAACACACTGATGATATTTGACAGTGGTTATGTCCCATTCTTTTGCAAAACATGCTGACTGAAAGAGTTACAAAATGGACATTTGAAGTAGCCAGTGTCCAGCCACCAGCAACCGTTTGTTAACAGACAATCAGTGGTGGAAATGCCATAACATTTTTGTGATCACAGGCTACAATCAAGCTATGTTTCAGTTAAAAAGTAGGATCAGTTATGAGTGTACTGTTTGCTTGTGCTAACACCCTGTATCTCTGAAACAATACTCAATATAATTTGCTAAACAAGTAAAGATATGAATACAAATTATCCATACACATATAGTTAGCAACTTTCAACACATGCCACTTAATTAGATTAACTTCAGTGAGAACAGACAGCTAACACACTAACTTCAGTGAGAACAGACAGCTAACACACTAACTTCAGTGAAAAGAGATAAAGGTAACACATGTAGTATATCTGCAGCAAACATGACTTCAGTGATACTTCACACAACCCAAACAATCACCATCACTGCTGCCTGCCAGTGGCTGCCATCAGGTGGGAAATATCCTCATAAACCTGGTCCTGTAATGGAATTGGTTTAGGTCAAAAGTCTTGCCTCTGACCTTCAAGTGCTGGATTCACCCATCACCATGGTTTCCTCAAGTGTTGGACTCACCCATCACCATGGTTTCCTCAAGTGTTGGACTCACCCATCACCATGGTTTCCTCAAGTGTTGGACTCACCCATCACCATGGTTTTCTCAAGTGTTGGATTCACCCATTACCATGGTTTTCTCAAGTGTACTGTTTGCTTGTGCTAATCACCCTTAACTTCTGAAACAATACTGGTATAATTTGTAACAAGCTAAACATATGAATACAAATTATCCATGCACATGTTTAGAGCTTTCAACAGATGCCACTATTAATTAGATTTTCTACAGTGTGAAACAGACAACTGCGTCACTAACTTCAGAAGACATAAAGGTTAGAATATTAGTATATCTGCAAGCAAAACATGGACTTCAGTGATACTTCACACAAAAAAACCATGAGAACCATAAGACTGCTGCCTCCCAGCAGCTTCTGATGGTGGGGGTAATGTCTTTAACCTGGTCCTGTCAATAAATAGAGAGTCAAAATGTCTTGCCTCTGACCTTCAAATGCTGCATTTTCCATATTCACCATGGTTTCCTCAAGTGTTGGACTCACCCACACACCATGGTTTCCTGAGGTCATTTTCTGGGAAGTCACCCATCACCATGGTTTCCTCAACAACAAAACAACTATCACCATGGTTTCCTCAACTTAGTTGGAAAACCCATCAATGGTTTCCTAAAGTGTTGGACTCAACCATCACCATGGTTTCCTCAAAACAAGTGTTGGACTCACCCATTACCATGGTTTCCTCAAGTGTGGACTCAAATCAAAGCCATGGTTTCCCAGTTAGACTTCAAATCAAAACAAGTTTGGCCAAGTATGGTCTTCAGACTCAAAGCATCCTCTACCAGTAACTTCAAATCAAAACAAGTGGCCCAGTAGTCTTCAACTCAAAGCAAGTGGCCCAGTAGTCTTCGAACTCAAGCAGTGGCCCAGTAGACTTCAAATCAAAACAAGTGGCCCAGTAGTCCTCAACTCAAAGCAAGTGGCCCAGTAGTCTTCAGACAGTACAAATTAGTGGCCCAGTAGTCTTAAACTCGAAGCAAGTGGCCAAAGTAGACTTCAAATTAGAAAACAAGTGGCCCAGTAGTCTTCAACTCAAAGCAAGTGGCCCAGTAGACTTCAAATCAAAACAAGTGTCCCAGTAGTCTTCAACTCAAAGCAAGTGGCCCAGTAGTCTTCAACTCAAAGCAAGTGGCCCAGTAGACTTCAAATCAAAACAAGTGGCCCAGTAGTCTTCAACTCAAAGCAAGTGGCCCAGTAGTCTTCAACTCAAAGCAAGTGGCCCAGTAGTCTTCAACTCAAAGCAAGTGGCCCAGTAGACTTCAAATCAAAACAAGTAGCCCAGTAGTCTTCAAATCAAAGCAAGTGGCCCAGTAGACTTCAACTTAAAGCAAGTAGACTGCTAACAAGGATACATTTCCAAATGTTCAAACCTGCTCACAAAAGGAGGTTGAAGAAGCAACATAATTCTCTTGTCCAGCCAGTACGGCTGGTGTGAAGAATGTTCAGACAGAGGAAGGTTGGTGAAGATGTCAACTGGACAACTGAGCTCATTAAACATGCTTTATAAAGTTGGAGCACTGACTCTCAACACCCACATGACCTGAAGACTTCTTTACTCATAGCTGTAGACTACTTGACTTATATATACATACATGAGGGTATTTAAAACAACTGCAGATTTGATCAGTGCTGAAGTTAGTCAGCAACAATAATCTCGCTCGATATTTAGAAATATACACGAGCATTTATATTGTGATCTATGGCACCAAACAGGAGCACTTCAAGAAGTTTACGTGTGCATCATACAAAACTAGAATGGCTAGAAAAGAGATGTGTATGTGTGCATCATACAAAACTAGAATGGCTAGTACAGAGATGTGTATGTGTGCATCATACAAAACTAGAATGGCTAAGATAGAGATGTATACGAGTGCATCATACAAAACTAGAATGGCTAGTCTAGAAATGTAAAAGATAGGCTACTCCAGGGACATAGCTCTCACTCAGGCACACACAAAAAAGCCTAGAAAGTTGCATCATCTATGACACTGGAACAGCAAATAAAGCAGCATCATGTGTCATGGCATGTTCAAATTTCACAACATAAAACATACAATGTAACACATGAACATATTATGTGTGTTGAACTACAAACAGCTGCATAAGCTCCAACACAACCACATATTCTTCTTCTGTGTTTGCCTTTAAATAGGCAGTTGACACCCTGTGTTGTGGTTTACAGATAGGCTGCAATATCTGCAATGTTTGGCCCAACACATCTGATTTCAGCAAACATAATTTGTTGCCCTACATAACCTGCTTGTTGAGGAGCACCCAGTCAATTCCCTGTCTCTCCAAAAAAGGCCGTTAGAACCCACAAGGTAAAACGCTGCATTTAACCACTAAAACAAATGGTTGCATGTCAAACCATATCAAACATATTGGGCCTAAACATAAATCACAAGAAACATCGGGGAAAGAAACAGAATTCACAAGAAGACAACATAATTACCATGACCATTTCATGATGTACTGTACAAGTATTTAAAAAAATCATGATTTAAGAACAATACAGACATTCCACTGTATAGCAATAAATATAGCAAAACAATATCTAAAATATGAAGCACAATATGTCGATGAGAAAATAGAAAAACACAATTTATTTGACTTGCTACTGAATATTATCATGTGGTTAAATGATCTGACAAAAACATCTGACGCAGTCATGGCTGACCTGCAAGTATAGACATTAGTTAAGATAATCGCACTGCCCAGGCAAAACTTGGAGAATCTACTCAAAGTATTTCAGGATCCCTGCTGGTGCTACAAATTTGGGCACTGACCTGAGATTCCTCAGACTCAGACTCGAGTTAGAAGTAGAATGGAACACTTCTGGGTTACTACCCTTGTGTCGTGATGTTGATCCACTGTTTAAAACCTAATCTCTTGAAACAATCTGAGTTTTCCTCTAGCTTTATATCCTGATATTCTTGGACTGTCTTAACTTCGGTGTTTGCTAATTCTGAGTTGTGTTATTTTACTGAGCAACCAGGTGAAAAGAATCATTTCTGACTTATCGGTTAAATATGGACACCAATGAATGAGCATAAGAAATTTCACAGGGTCTGTATTCACGGGGAAAAGAGGAAAGAAGTATCGATTAGAGAGAAACATGGCACAAATGATATTTCTGTGCACTACTGAATGAATATAATAGCAAATGTCATAGCTCAATATGACAATGATATGATGAACAATATTTGAGCTGAAGAATGATGCAAATTATTTAAATTAGAATCTACAAAGTGGCAAACAAATGTTTATGGGAAAAATACTTTTCCCCACTTATTAGTGGGAAGAAATTATCACAGACAGCTGGCTAAACCTGCTCTACCAGCAACTTGGATGGTAGCAGCCGAGCATCGACAACATCCTGTGGGAGAACGCCTTTAGTTCCTTTATCTGGCAGCAGCTGCAGGTAATCCAGGTCACTGCGGATACTCAGTTTCTGAAAGATCAAATAGGACATTGACAGTTGTCTCACAGAAACCTAATCTAGGTGCCTGTATCAATAGTATAGACAGTTTCTGAAAGATCAAATAGGACATTGACATTTGTCTCACAGAAACCCAATCTAGGTGCCTGTATCAATAGTATAGACAGTTTCTGAAAGATCAAATAGGACATTGACAGTTGTCTCACAGAAACCTAATCTAGGTGCCTGTATCAATAGTATAGACAGTTTCTGAAAGATCAAGTAGGACATTGACAGTTGTCTCACAGAAACCTAATCTAGGTGCCTGTATCAATAGTATAGACAGTTTCTGAAAGATCAAATAGGACATTGACAGTTGTCTCACAGAAACCTAATCTAGGTGCCTGTATCAATAGTATAGACAGTTTCTGAAAGATCAAATAGGACATTGACAGTTGTCTCACAGAAACCTAATCTAGGTGCCTGTATCAATAGTATAGACAGTTTCTGAAAGATCAAATAGGACATTGACAGTTGTCTCACAGAAATCTAATCTAGGTGCCTGTATCAATAGTATAGACAGTTTCTGAAAGATCAAACAGGACATTGACAGTTGTCTCACAGAAACCTAATCTAGGTGCCTGTATCAATAGTATAGACAGTTTCTGAAAGATCAAATAGGACATTGACAGTTGTCTCACAGAAATCTAATCTAGGTGCCTGTATCAATAGTATAGACAGTTTCTGAAAGATCAAATAGGACATTGACAGTTGTCTCACAGAAACCTAATCTAGGTGCCTGTATCAAAAGCATAGACAGTTTCTGAAAGATCAAATAGGACATTGACAGTTGTCTCACAGAAACCTAATCTAGGTGCCTGTATCAATAGTATAGACAGTTTCTGAAAGATCAAATAGGACATTGACAGTTGTCTCACAGAAACCTAATCTAGGTGCCTGTATCAATAGTATAGACAGTTTCTGAAAGATCAAATAGGACATTGACAGTTGTCTCACAGAAACCTAATCTAGGTGCCTGTATCAATAGTATAGACAGTTTCTGAAAGATCAAATAGGACATTGACAGTTGTCTCACAGAAACCTAATCTAGGTGCCTGTATCAATAGTATAGACAGTTTCTGAAAGATCAAGTAGGACATTGACAGTTGTCTCACAGAAACCTAATCTAGGTGCCTGTATCAATAGTATAGACAGTTTCTGAAAGATCAAGTAGGACATTGACAGTTGTCTCACAGAAACCTAATCTAGGTGCCTGTATCAATAGTATAGACAGTTTCTGAAAGATCAAATAGGACATTGACAGTTGTCTCACAGAAACCTAATCTAGGTGCCTGTATCAATAGTATAGACAGTTTCTGAAAGATCAAATAAGACATTGACAGTTGTCTCACAGAAACCTAATCTAGGTGCCTGTATCAATAGTATAGACAGTTTCTGAAAGATCAAATAGGACATTGACAGTTGTCTCACAGAAACCTAATCTAGGTGCCTGTATCAATAGTATAGACAGTTTCTGAAAGATCAAATAGGACATTGACAGTTGTCTCACAGAAACCTAATCTAGGTGCCTGTATCAATAGTATAGACAGTTTCTGAAAGATCAAATAGGACATTGACAGTTGTCTCACAGAAACCTAATCTAGGTGCCTGTATCAATAGTATAGACAGTTTCTGAAAGATCAAATAGGACATTGACAGTTGTCTTACAGAAACCTAATCTAGGTGCCTGTATCAATAGTATAGACAGTTTCTGAAAGATCAAATAGGACATTGACAGTTGTCTCACAGAAACCTAATCTAGGTGCCTGTATCAATAGTATAGACAGTTTCTGAAAGATCAAATAGGACATTGACAGTTGTCTCACAGAAATCTAATCTAGGTGCCTGTATCAATAGTATAGACAGTTTCTGAAAGATCAAATAGGACATTGACAGTTGTCTCACAGAAATCTAATCTAGGTGCCTGTATCAATAGTATAGACAGTTTCTGAAAGATCAAATAGGACATTGACAGTTGTCTCGCAGAAATCTAATCTAGGTGCCTGTATCAATAGTATAGACAGTTTCTGAAAGATCAAATAGGACATTGACAGTTGTCTCACAGAAACCTAATCTAGGTGCCTGCATCAAAAGTAATTATGGTTTCACCATTTTTGCATGAACTTGCTGAAAAAAAACCTTAACAAAACACAAAGTCTTTAGCTCTACAGTCTGGAAGCCGTGGTGCTGTAGTGGTTTGCCAACCAGCCTGAAGGTCTAGAATTCAAATCTGTATCAAGACAGAATATTTTTCAAAATGGACGTTGGCTCCCAGGTTCACCTAGCCTAAAATAGCTACTAAGTAATGTACTGGAAAGTCAAGGCAAAAATCGTGCTCTTAACCACATCAGCCACTCAGTTCCCATTGGTCTATAACAGAACAAAAATAGGTTTAGCATTATATGCCTGATATGTGTAAGGCACGAAACTGCTGTAAACTGAAAGCAAAAATAGAATTCCCCATGAAATCCACAGTTCACAGTACAGAGCCTAATGTTGGTGTGTATCAATGTACAGAGCCTAATGTTGATGTGTATCAATGTACAGAGCCTAATGTTGACGTGTATCAATGTACAGAGCCTAATGTTGATGTGTATCAATGTACAGAGCCTAATGTTGACGTGTATCAATGTACAGAGCCTAATGTTGACGTGTATCAATGTACAGAGCCTAATGTTGATGTGTATCAATGTAGGGAGCCTAATGTTGATGTGTATCAATGTACAGAGCCTAATGTTGATGTGTATCAATGTACAGAGCCTAATGTTGATGTGTATCAATGTACAGAGCCTAATGTTGGTGTGTATCAATGTACAGAGCCTAATGTTGGTGTGTATCAATGTATGTTTGGTGTGTATCAAGAGCCTAATGTTGATGTGTATCAATGTACAGAGCCTAATGTTGGTGTGTATCAATGTACAGAGCCTAATGTTGATGTGTATCAATGTACAGAGCCTAATGTTGATGTGTATCAATGTACAGAGCCTAATGTTGATGTGTATCAATGTACAGAGCCTAATGTTGATGTGTATCAATGTACAGAGCCTAATGTTGATGTGTATCAATGTACAGAGCCTAATGTTGATGTGTATCAATGTACAGAGCCTAATGTTGATGTGTATCAATGTAGGGAGCCTAATGTTGATGTGTATCAATGTACAGAGCCTAATGTTGATGTGTATCAATGTACAGAGCCTAATGTTGATGTGTATCAATGTACAGAGCCTAATGTTGATGTGTATCAATGTACAGAGCCTAATGTTGATGTGTATCAATGTACAGAGCCTAAGATGTGTATCTAAGAGCCTAATGTTGATGTGTATCAATGTACAGGGAGCCTAATGTTGATGTGTATCAATGTACAGAGCCTAATGTTGATGTGTATCAATGTACAGAGCCTAATGTTGATGTGTATCAATGTACATATCCTAATGTTGACGTGTATCAATGTACAGAGCCTAATGTTGACGTGTATCAATGTACAGAGCCTAATGTTGACGTGTATCAATGTACGGAGCCTAAATGTTGATGTGTATCAATGTAGGGAGCCTAATGTTGATGTGTATCAATGTACAGGTGTGTATCTACGAGCCTAATGTGTGTCAATGTAGGGAGCCTAATGTTGATGTGTATCAATGTAGGGAGCCTAATGTTGATGTGTATCAATGTACAGAGCCTAATGTTGATGTGTATCAATGTAGGGAGCCTAATGTTGATGTGTATCAATGTAGGGAGCCTAATGTTGATGTGTATCAATGTACAGAGACTAATGTTGGTGTGTATCAATGTACAGAGCCTAATGTTGATGTGTATCAATGTAGGGAGCCTAATGTTGATGTGTATCAATGTACAGAGCCTAATGTTGATGTGTATCAATGTACAGAGCCTAATGTTGATGTGTATCAATGTACGGAGCCTAAATGTTGATGTGTATCAATGTACAGAGCCTAATGTTGATGTGTATCAATGTACAGAGCCTAATGTTGATGTGTATCAATGTACAGAGCCTAATGTTGATGTGTATCAATGTACGGAGCCTAAATGTTGATGTGTATCAATGTACAGAGCCTAATGTTGATGTGTATCAATGTAGGGAGCCTAATGTTGATGTGTATCAATGTACAGAGCCTAATGTTGATGTGTATCAATGTACAGAGCCTAATGTTGATGTGTATCAATGTACAGAGCCTAATGTTGATGTGTATCAATGTACAGAGCCTAATGTTGATGTGTATCAATGTAGGGAGCCTAATGTTGATGTGTGTACAGAGCCTGTAGGTATCAATGTACAGAGCCTATGTTGATGTGTATCAATGTACAGAGCCTAATGTTGATGTGTATCAATGTAGGGAGCCTAAGCCTGTGTATCAATGTAGGGAGCCTAATGTTGGTGTGTATCAATGTACGGAGCCTTATGTTGGTGTGTATCAATGTACATGTATCAATGTACAGAGCCTAATGTTGATGTGTATCAATGTACAGAGCCTAATGTTGACGTGTATCAATGTAGGGAGCCTAATGTTGGTGTGTATCAATGTAGGGAGCCTAATGTTGGTGTGTATCAATGTAGGGAGCCTAATGTTGGTGTGTATCAATGTACGGAGCCTTATGTTGGTGTGTATCAATGTACAGAGCCTAAATGTTGATGTGTATCAATGTACAGAGCCTAAATGTTGATGTGTGTCAATGTACAGAGCCTAAATGTCGATGTGTATCAATGTACAGAGCCTAATGTTGATGTGTATCAATGTAAGAGCCTAAAGTCGATGTGTATCAATATACAGAGCCTAATGTCGATGTGTATCAATGTACATAGCCTTATGTTGATGTGTATCAATGTACAGAGCCTAAATGTTGATGTGTATCAATGTACAGAGCCTAAATGTTGTTGTGTATCAATGTACAGAGCCTAAATGTCGATGTGTATCAATGTACAGAGCCTAATGTCGATGTGTATCAATGTACAGAGCCTAATGTTGATGTGTATCAATTTACAGAGCCTGAAGTTTATGTGTATCAGTGTACAGAGCCTAAAGTCGATGTGTATCAATTTACATAGCCTTATGTTGATGTGTATCAATGTACAGAGCCTAAATGTCGCTGTGTATCAATGTACAGAGGCTAATGTTGATGTGTATGAATGTACAGAGCCTAATGTCGATGTGTATCAATGTACAGCCTAAATGTTAATGTGTATTAATGTACAGAGCCTAAATGTCAATGTGTATCAATGTACAGAGCCTAATGTCAATGTATATCAATGTACAGAGCCTAAATGTTGATGTGTATCAATGTACAGAGCCTAAAGTCGATTTGTATCAATGTACAGAGCCTAAATGTCGATGTGTATCAATGTACAGAGCCTAAATGTCGATGTGTATCAATGTACAGAGCCTAAAGTCGATGTGTATCAATGTACATAGCCTTATGCTGATGTGTATCAATGTACAGAGGCTAATGTCAATGTGTATCAATGTACAGAGCCTAAAGTCGATGTGTATCAATGTACATAGCCTAATGTCGATGTGTATTAATGTACAGAGCCTAATGTTGACGTGTATCAATGTACAGAGCCTAAATGTTGATGTGTATCAATGTACAGAGCCTAATGTCAATGTGTATCAATGTACAGAGCCTAAATGTCAATGTGTATCAATGTACAAAGCCTAATGTTTATATGAAACACAGAACCTGTGATTACCTGTGAACTTCTCATATCTGGGGCTGTAACCGCAGCGGACAAACACAACCAGATGAGGGCTATGGCACTGAGCAACATGATGATGGTGAGAATCAGACGGGGCATGCCAGTTTTACGGGCAATACACGTCAGCAAGTCGTTGCTGTTTCTGTCATCCCAGCTTCCAAAAAAGGGGCTGATCTGGAAAAGACAACAAGTTAGAGAAACATATACACTTGGAAGAAAGTTTGATTTGTGAGATAACCAGACTCTACAGGCTAAGGGTAAATGTTACAAGAATATGCCTTCATTGGCAGGAAGGGCACTGTCACCCATGCCTGAGGTGCTGTCCTAAAGTTCCAAAATAAAGTCGTTTCATGAGGTTCTGCACTTCTGTTCTAAGGTCTATCACAAAATCATGAAGTCTTCAACTTCTAAGATGACACTCTTGTATTCTGTCACAAGGTCTTCTATTCCTAATATGAAATAATCAATGAAATTCTATCACGATTTCTTGAATTCCAGAAATGAAATCTGGAAGCTTTATCAGAAGTTTTGAAGGTCTATCATGAAGTTCTGAAGGTCTATCATAAAGTTCTGAATGTCCATCAAAAAGTCCTGAAGTCTTACCATGAAGTCCTGAATGTCTACCTGGAAATTCTGAAGTTCTATTAGGAAGTCCAGTCACAAATTTCAGATTAAACTAATACAATTATAGGGGTGGAAAAACAGAAAACTAATACAATTATAGGGGTGGAAAAACAGAAAACTAATACAATTATAGGGGCGGAAAAACAGAAAACTAATACAATTATAGGGGCGGAAAAACAGAAAACTAATACAATTATAGGGGCCTAAAACAGAAAACTAATACAATTATAGGGGCGGAAAAACAGAAAACTAATACAATTATAGGGGCCTAAAACAGAAAACTAATACAATTATAGGGGCGGAAAAACAGAAAACTAATACAATTATAGGGGCCTAAAACAGAAAACTAATACAATTATAGGGGCCTAAAACAGAAAACTAATACAATTATAGGGGCGGAAAAACAGAAAACTAATACAATTATAGGGGCGGAAAAACAGAAAACTAATACAATTATAGGGGCGGAAAAACAGAAAACTAATACAATTATAGGGGCGGAAAAACAGAAAACTACAAATACTAAAACAGAAAAATTATAGGGGCCTAAAACAGAAAACTAATACAATTATAGGGGCCTAAAACATAGGGGCCTAAAACAGAAAACTAATACAATTATAGGGGCCTAAAAAACAGAACAGAAAACTAATACAATTATAGGGGCCTAAAACAGAAAACTAATACAATTATAGGGGCCTAAAACAGAAAACTAATACAATTATAGGGGCTAAAACAAAAAACAGAAAACTAATACAATTATAGGGGCCTAAAACAGAAAACTAATACAATTATAGGGGCCTAAAAACAGAAAACTAATACAATTATAGGGGCCTAAAACAGAAAAAACTAATACAATTATAGGGGCCTAAAACAGAAAACTAATACAATTATAGGGGCCTAAAACAGAAAACTAATACAATTATAGGGGCCTAAAACAGAAAACTAATACAATTATAGGGGCCTAAAACAGAAAACTAATACACTATAAAAAACAGAAAACTAATACAATTATAGGGGCCTAAAACAGAAAACTAATACAATTATAGGGGCCTAAAACAGAAAACTAATACAATTATAGGGGGCCTAAAACAGAAAACTAATACAACTATAGGGGCCTAAAACAGAAAACTAATACAATTATAGGGGCCTAAAACAGAAAACTAATACAATTATAGGGGCCTAAAACAGAAAACTAATACAACTATAGGGGCTAAAAAGAAAACTATATAAAACAGAAAACTAATACAATTATAGGGCCTAAAACACAAAAACTAATACCTAAAACAGAAAACTAATACAATTATAGGGGCCTAAAACAGAAAACTAATACAATTATAGGGGCCTAAAACAGAAAACTAATACAATTATAGGGGCCTAAAACAGAAAACTAATACAATTATAGGGGCCTAAAACAGAAAACTAATACAATTATAGGGGCCTAAAACAGAAAACTAATACAATTATAGGGGCGGAAAAACAGAAAACTAATACAATTATAGGGGCGGCCTAAAACAGAAAACTAATACAATTATAGGGGCGGAAAAACAGAAAACTAATACAATTATAGGGGCGGAAAAACAGAAAACTAATACAATTATAGGGGCCTAAAACAGAAAACTAATACAATTATAGGGGCGGAAAACAGAAAACTAATACAATTATAGGGGCCTAAAACAGAAAACTAATACAATTATAGGGGCGGAAAAACAGAAAACTAATACCTATAGGGGCCTAAAACAGAAAACTAATACAATTATAGGGCCTAAAACCTAAAACAGAAAACTAATACAATTATAGGGGCCTAAAACAGAAAACTAATACAATTATAGGGGCCTAAAACAGAAAACTAATACAATTATAGGGGCCTAAAACAGAAAACTAATACAATTATAGGGGCCTAAAACAGAAAACTAATACAACTATAGGGGCCTAAAACAGAAAACTAATACAATTATAGGGGCCTAAAACAGAAAACTAATACAATTATAGGGGCTGAAGAAAACTAATACAACTATAGGGGCCTAAAACAGAAAACTAATACAATTATAGGGGCCTAAAACAGAAAACTAATACAATTATAGGGGCCTAAAACAGAAAACTAATACAATTATAGGGGCCTAAAACAGAAAACTAATACAATTATATAGGGCCTAAAACAGAAAACTAATACAATTATAGGGCGGAAAAACAGAAAACTAATACAATTAAAAAACTAATACAATTATAGGGGCTGAAAAAAACTAATACAATTATAGGGGCGGAAAACAGAAAACTAATACAACTATAGGGGCCTAAAACAGAAAAACTAATACAAATATAGGGGCGGAAACAGAAAACTAATACAACTATAGGGGCCTAAAACAGAAAACTAATACAATTATAGGGGCCTAAAACAGAAAACTAATACAATTATAGGGGCCTAAAACAGAAAACTAATACAACTATAGGGGCTGAAGAAAACTAATACAATTATAGGGGCCTAAAACAGAAAACTAATACAACTATAGGGGCCTAAAACAGAAAACTAATACAACTATAGGGGCCTAAAACAGAAAACTAATACAACTATAGGGGCCTAAAACAGAAAACTAATACAACTATAGGGGCCTAAAACAGAAAACTAATACAACTATAGGGGCGGAAAAACAGAAAACTAATACAATTATAGGGGCCTAAAACAGAAAACTAATACAATTATAGGGGCCTAAAACAGAAAACTAATACAATTATAGGGGCTAAAACAGAAAACTAATACAATTATAGGGGCCTAAAACAGAAAACTAATACAAATATAGGGCCTAAAACAGAAAACTAATACAATTATAGGGGCCTAAAACAGAAAACTAATACAATTATAGGGGCCTAAAATAGGGGCCTAAAACTAATACAATTATAGGGGCCTAAAACAGGGGCCTAAAACAGAAAACTAATACAAATTATAGGGGCCTAAAACAGAAAACTAATACAATTATAGGGGCCTAAAACAGAAAACTAATACAATTATAGGGGCCTAAAACAGAAAACTAATACAATTATAGGGGCCTAAAACAGAAAACTAATACAATTATAGGGGCCTAAAACAGAAAACTAATACAATTATAGGGCCTAAAACAGAAAACTAATACAATTATAGGGCCTAAAAACAGAAAACTAATACAACTATAGGGGCCTAAAACAGAAAACTAATACAATTATAGGGGCCTAAAACAGAAAACTAATACAATATATAGGGGCCTAAAACAGGCTGAAAAAACTAATACAATTATAGGGGCCTAAAACAGAAAAACTAATACAATTATAGGGGCCTAAAACAGAAAACTAATACAATTATAGGGGCCTAAAACAGAAAACTAATACAATTATAGGGCCTAAAACAGAAAACTAATACAACTATAGGGGCCTAAAACAGAAAACTAATACAATTATAGGGGCCTAAAACAGAAAAACTAATACAACTATAGGGCCTAAAACAGAAAACTAATACAATTATAGGGGCCTAAAACAGAAAACTAATACAATTATAGGGGGGCCTAAAACAGACAAAAACTAATACAATTATAGGGGCCTAAAACAGAAAACTAATACAATTATAGGGGCCTAAAACAGAAAACTAATACAATTATAGGGGCCTAAAACAGAAAACTAATACAATTATAGGGGCCTAAAACTAATACAATTAACTAAAACAGAATACTAATACAATATAGGGGCCTAAAACAGAAAACTAATACAATTATAGGGGCCTAAAACAGAAAACTAATACAATTATAGGGGCCTAAAACAGAAAACTAATACAATTATAGGGGCCTAAAACAGAAAACTAATACAATTATAGGGGCCTAAAACAGAAAACTAATACAACTATAGGGGCCTAAAACAGAAAACTAATACAAATATAGGGGCTGAAGAAAACTAATACAACTATAGGGGCCTAAAACAGAAAACTAATACAATTATAGGGGCCTAAAACAGAAAACTAATACAATTATAGGGGCCTAAAACAGAAAACTAATACAATTATAGGGGCCTAAAACAGAAAACTAATACAATTATAGGGGCCTAAAACAGAAAACTAATACAATTATAGGGGCCTAAAACAGAAAACTAATACAACTATAGGGGCCTAAAACAGAAAACTAATACAAATATTTTTATATAAAAATAATAGTGCTGTTGTCTCCACAATGGAGATGATAATTATGGAAATATCACACGGTTATGTTATGTTGTTATTACAGTTGACGTCACTGCACATTGGGCATTCGCATATATGCTCAGTCCTCCGATGCAGCAACCCCTCCAAGGTACTTTTGCTAATTGTTTCCATGAGAAGTTGGATATAATGTCTAATATCTCGGCCTCGAATGGGGGCATAGACGTGCTTCACAACCCTTAACTCCCATGTCATGCAATCGTGCTAGTGTCAGAGATTCGTCATTATCCACTAGCCCAGTCCGTACAGAGTTGACGATATCTGCTCTGTCCATGCCTCTTCCCACATGCGTTGGTGCATTGCTAGCCAGTTGGTCTGCTCGATTTTTATTCTTTACCCCCACATGACCAGGTGTGTAGATCCAGGTAAGAGAGGTTATGTGCAATTTTCCAATGCATCTAACTATTCACAGCACATACTACCTGTTGCTATCTTCTGAAGTATGTTCATGGATTCTGATACAATTACTGCCCATGCTAGTGCTCTAAAAGCAGCGGCTTTCTCTATGATCATGGTTGGTGTGGTTGCCTCGTAAACGCCACTGTCCACTATCTTGGACTGTTTCCCCCATTTTTTGTGCTGTGTTTGCCCATGCTGACCTTGATCCATGCTTCACAGATCCATCTGTACAGATGATGATATCTTCTGGGTGTGAATGTTGATCTATCACTGCCCTTACCTCTGTGTCTACGGCCGCACAAATCTGGTCCTTTCCAAGGTGATGACTACCTTACAGATGCCGCGCATGTCTACTCGTGTATTCATATGACATGGTGAGCTCCCAGTCTCTTCCACAATGCAACTCTCATACCACTATCTGAACATGTGACCACTGACTCTATCGAAACCACCCATGGAGGGAACTTAACCCTGGTAAATGCTGACGAATGCATTGTGAAACTGCTTCACTAACCTCTAAGTCACAGAGTCACAATTATACAACACATACTTGAGACATCGAGCAAAGACAATTTATATCAGAGGATAGATAACAGCAAGGTGGAATCAATGAACCTAGATCAGACTTTAATAGATGATTAAACCCCAGACTCAAACAGTAGCAGGCATGTCCTCTGCTGCTCTGCCACACAGCTCAGGTATCAATCAATCAGGTGCCATCTCCACAATAAAGGTTGCTGCAACAGATCTCCTACACTCTTTATCTCTTGTCTCGGTTGTACATTCTCTCAGACTGCTTTCGTCCATCTCTTGATGTTGTCCTTTCATTTGTATCACTGTCTAGTCTACCTCTTGCTCTCTTGTCCTCAAACTTTTCCTACAGTATGGTTTTTAAAGGCATTTTATGCCTTTAAATGTGGACAAAATATTTAAAATACCTCTTCTTTATTTCTTTCAATAATTCTCTTTCAAGAACCCCTGTAATTGATTGTTTTTATTTCCATGAAATACAACCTATATTTCTGTATATCCAGAGACAGTTTCATTTTGCAGTTGCCTGTTCACTTCACTATTTAAGTTTCTGCACCACACAATAGGGTTCAGTATACACAACATTTAATGATCCTCATTTTTAATATGTTGTCTCCAGTTGTCAACAATTTTCACATCTTATTAAAGACAGTTTTAGCCATTCATAATTTCTCCTTTTTCCTTTTCTCTTTTATTATTACGTGTCAGAGATAGGGGAAATTTGTTACTTGTTCTAATATCTCTCTATTTACTGTGATGTTCACTGTTGGTTGCTCTTTGCCATTTTTAATTATCATAGTTTTTGTTTTGTGTCTAAACCATTCTCTGCACTCCACCAGTTGACTTGATACACTGGGTGTTGTAAACTCCTGCTCAGATATGCTCCGTCCTCCAGTTAGCTAATGATACAAACCTTGGCAGCACTGAATTCATCCTGGGCACTGGTTGCTGACTTGAGCTGTGAGTGCTTGGACATCTCTGTGGCCACACTTCCCGCTGGTTCTATGTTGGTTTCCATCACAGAGCTGGTTCCCAAGCTGGCAGGCTGACCTGCGAAACACACAGCACTCAGAGCTCAACATCACAAGGGGTTACAGACATCATGTGTGAACACATCCAATTACAACATGCTAGCTAGTTCGAAAGTTAGTTATCCAACCTTTACAAGATGCTGCAAGCTAACCGAAGCATTTTTCAGCTGTTTGTGGTTTAAACAGAACATTTTAAATTTCAGTAGTTTGCCATTGCTTTCTAAATGTAAAATGCAGAGCCAACACATGACGCTCTGGTTCTGGGCTGACACAAAGAATCGTCACGTCCTGCACATGAATGCTTAACCTCACAACCGTATGTTGAACTGTCCATTTGTCACGGGCTGCGCCCTTGGGAGATAAGCAGGGAGCAGCCCACTGGTCCAGGGCTTCGATAACCACACAAATAGATACATTCTTCTTTATCACGTTACACACCTTAAACGTTGGTTCATTTGTGTGCTCAGCACTGCAGTATGAAGAGGTATGCATCAGGCACGGCTTTGGTCCCAACTCTCGGGCAAGTGGACCGATGATACAGGTATATGAACCTTTCTGCCATTCAGTGGGATTTATGATGATTGAACACTTGAGATTTTGCTGGCCTGTCATAGGACGTACCTCTGTCGGACATTCGAGCCTACCCAGCAGGCTGATAGTGGCTGTTGTGGTTTACCAATGCGACAACGACGTTTAGGATTAACAGGATGTGCGTCTAGAGGATTTTACCGGAAGAAGCCACCCAAAGTAGATGTTACTCATCGAAGCTGCGGGCAAGTCTCTTGGTCAAGGGCTGAGTCTCAGCAGTTCAGTTTTTATTTCTCTCAACAGACTTTTAACTGAGAGTTTATCATTTTATTGGTAAATTTGGCAAGCAGATATTACTCAAGTTCCAAATAAGTTTTGATAGACGTTTTCACCCATGCTTTTGGGGATGGGCTGATGTGGGGCTACCAGCTCCGAGATCCCTTGCCAGCTCTGTTAATGCTCATTTGAGACATTGTCCGTGGCGCACGACGGGGATGTGCAACAGAAGACTTGCATGAGGTTCCGAAAAACTACCACAGAGAAGGTCGAGTTATGGAGTATCTCCTTATACACACCACAAGAGGCTTTACTTTCCCTCACACCTGTGACAGAAATCACCGGGCCAGCAACAATTTTTTAACTGTATGTCACACAAACACCGGGATTCACCGTGGTGAGCAGCGAGATGCTCGCCTGCAGGTGGGAAGGTGGTGGGCTCAGGTGCTGACAGAGCTGGACTTTACACCAACCCCCCAAAATGACCCTGGCTCCCAGAACGACCCAGTCTTGAGTGGGTAGCAGGTGCAGTCCAGGGAAGTGAAGGTGGCTGGCGTGATGCTGATCATATCACCCACCAAAAGGCAGATTGATCTATAAAACATAGGTCTAGCCTTGTATACCCTGCTCACGTTATGGAAAAGGATCGTTTACTTTACTTGTTTACTTGTGAATGTCTATCACTAACATATCTCTGCTGTGGGATAACCTGAACATGTTTCAACATCAATTCCATGTGTGAGTTCCAGGGAACCATCCATGTGTGAGTTCCAGGGAACCATTGTGGAGGGAAACAAGAATAAAACCACTGCAACCCCCCACCCCCCACCAAAAAGCATGTTGTAAAAGGCAACTAATTAGGGGTGTTGCCTTCAAAGTCGGAGTGCATCTGCCCGACAGACAAGGAACCAACAGTCTGCACACAAATAAGCCACATCTTTCAAACAGATGTTCCCTGTGTGGGTTTCTAGGTCCCACTGTGGGGAAAACAGGAATGCACCTACTGCCTAGTCGACTAATTGGCAGCTTCCTTCCAAGTCAGAGTGCATCTGTATGAGTAGCATGGAGCAACCAACTGAACACAAATAAGCCAGTAAAATGATGTACACCGGAAACTCAGGCTCTGCCACAAAGCCAAAGAACAAATTGGCTCTGCCACAAAGCCAAAGAACAAATTGGTCCTGCCACAAAGCCAAAGTACAAATTGGCCCTGCCACAAAGCCAAAGTACAAATTGGTCCTGCCACAAAGCCAAAGTACAAATTGGTCCTGCCACAAAGCCAAAGTACAAATTGGCCCTGCCACAAAGCCAAAGTACAAATGGATGAACAACCAGGATTTTCCACCACAGTTTGTAGCTGGTGAACAAATAAGAAACAAACAGATGTGTATGCAACACTCAAGTCCAGGAGCAGGATTAAAGTCCAGAAGTGGAAGAAAAACCAGAACCTTCTGTTGGAGATGACAGCCAGTGAACACAAAGAAATAGAAGAAAAAACCAAATAACCCTCACCTTGCAAATCTAGGTCAAACACTTGTGGCTTGGACTTGGCAATGACCATCTTGCCTGAGCCATCTTGCACAAACATGGACCAGGATATAGACACGTGCTGCTTCACCTGACTCAGCATGCCATTGTAGATGTTGTGCATGTACAGGAAGGGGTTGGGCATCATCAGCATCCCATCTGTTGCAATCTTGGAGTCAAAGCCAGTCTGCACAATCAAACAGCTTTATGTGATCTTTAAAAGCTGCACACAACACAACTGATTACAGAACTGTCTGTGATTGCTTCATTCATTACTCAATGACTATTTAAATAATTCAAACAAGAATAATCTTCATGACATCTGACATTATCCATGAGCTCTCCTATCTCCTTGTGGTTGAGATCAGGCAGAGAGAAGCTCTACTCTGTGCATGAACTGTGCGTCACTGGCCCAAAACATACAGCATTTTTGCTGTCAGTAGAATGTTCTGACTGTAGAACTTGTTGCCAGACAAGAAGCCATTTATGGCGAACAAGTTACAGTTGGTCCTTTCCAAATTAGGTTTTCTTGGAGTCTTGCCCAAAAGGATGTTTGATACCCAATGACTCGAGGTGAGTATGATTCACTGCTTTGTGTTTCATTTTATCATGAACAGGAATATAAATAAAAATACACAGAAATGTCATTACCTTAGTATGATCATGAATGTAATTAATGCACATGGAGAGATGTACACAGATGAGAGATGTATATAGATGAGAGATGTATACAGATGAGAGATGTATACAGATGAGAGATGTCTACAGATGTAGAACTACTTGTATTTATGCTTTAGGAATTTTTCAAAAGTATCTGACAAACTTAGGAATCAAGACTTTTGTAGTTATCTGCAAACTCAATACAAATGGAAAAGAATAAAAACAGATCTATATTAGATGTAAGAATCTGCAAAAGTTATAAAGAAGAACTGGCGACTTCAGCACAATTACAAGGAGGTAGACAAGAACATATTCTAACACCCAATTGAAGTTGCAGGACAAACTACAATTATTCTGAGAGATACAGATGACAGTTTTAAAGAGAGGACTGTGACATTAGGTCAGTGAGTACACTTTCTGGAGATACCTTCGCAGAGATGTAGTTCTGGCTTTGCTCCATTCTCTACTGGCAGACTACTGTGCACAGAGAGACAGAGCCATCTACGATAAAACTCAGTGCACAATGAAGTCAATTGTTTTCAGCTTGAATCTGTTTTATTTTCACTGAGAAAACCAGTCAGCATAACTAGAAAGCCATTTCCTTGGAATTCACAAAACACTAAAGTAGAGAAAGATCAAAACACAAATGGAGAAGAGAGTTAAAATGTGGGTAATATGAGAAAAGCATGGAAAGAAATACAGTCAGCAATTAGCAGAAGAGTTTGCCAATAGAGGGCTGACAGAATGCATTCTACTAAAGCATAAAGAGCCACAGAAGAATCAGAACAAAAATAGGAACAATAGCAGGGAAAGGAGATGAAGCAGCAGCAGCAGAAAGAGGAGGAGAAGGTACCATACCTGCCCAAAGTTGTTCCTGAAAGGTTTTTGGCTGTTACATCCCAATAAACATGCTGACATCTCTTCTGCGTGCTTCGGGTATGCTTCCTGGCAATCTAGGAGAGTTCAGTACTTTATGTACACAAGATTCCAGATCGGCAAATTCAGTCACTAATGTGTGCATGCAAGATTCAGATTGATTACTTATTTATAGGGCTGTACCGAATAGTGATTTTCACTATTCGGCCGAATACGAATAGCTGGACCAACTATTTGGCCGAATAAGAATAGTAAATCCTCATCATCAAGTGCTTTGCCCACTGGCACGGGCGATTATGCCTCGCCACAATCTGCGATCTCCTGCAGCATGTATTAGTTCGTGTGCTGACACACCTCCATGCCATGAAATAAATCTGTCAAGAATCTTCTCTCGTTGTCTTCCTCTATCTCTCCTTCCACATATCTTTCCAGTGGTCACCTCATGTTCCATTTTCCCTCATCTTATAATATGGCCGAAAAATGATGACTGTCTTCTTCTGATGTCTGTGAGTAGTTATATTCGGGCTCCTGCCTCTTTCAAAACCTCTTAGTTGCTTTTTTTTGGGGGAGGGGGGGGGGGGGGCTGTCCAAGGTATTTTAAGCATTGTTCTGTAAAACCACATCTCTGAGGCCTCAAGAAATTGTCTGGCCTGCCTACCGATTGTCTAGAACTTACAGCCATTTGTTAAAACTGGATGTTTGTAGCAAGCAAGAATTCTTTTTCTAACCTTCAATGACAAAGATATATTGCATAAGATGTTCTTCGTTTTATAAAATGCAGTTTTTGCCTGTCCTATTCTGTTTCTTATTTCAGTAATGCATCTTAAATCTAATTTTACCCATGTGCCCAGATACTCAAATTTCTGTACTTGTCCCAAAATAAAACCATTTACTTTTATTACACATTTAGGAATAATTTTTTTCTTTGATACCAACATTACTTCTGTTTCCCACTATTGAAACTGAGGCCCATTCTTCCACTTTCGTGTATAAAACAGATTTAAATAAAAAAAAAAAACATCCATAATGTCAAATGTCTGCTGAAATTTTACTTCACAAAATGTAGTACAGAATAGTAAACATTTAAAAACATTTCATGTTTTGCATCCTTCAGTCAGTCAGTCTGTGGTAACTAATATCTAGGAATGAAAGTATTCTTAGTTTTATAACAAGTAAATAAACTTGCAAATTGTCACTGACAGCTTAGTAAACAAGTTCCATGTTGTTAGCATTAAGGCAGCTTCTGGTCTCACTGAAGGTATTTCCAGCTGTACCAAACAGACGTTCACTTGGTACGCTCGTAGGTGGTGCACAAAGATAACGCTTGACAGTATGAACCAAGGCGGGAAATCTTGATATGTTTATTTTCTACCAGTCCAGAAACGGATGTAAGGTAACCACTATTCGTATTCGGCCCGACCGCAACTATTCGGCAGAATACAGAATAGTTATTAGGTCCACTATTCGGCCCCAAAGCGAACATGAAGCGAATATTCGGTACAGCCCTACTTATTTATAACTGTATGCAAGATCCCAGTCTGGAAATTTCATTCATTTGTGCAAAATTCCTGTTGGTAATATCATTAATGGAAAGCAGCAAGCAATATTCTAGACATTAATTAAACTAATGCAACCCTGAAGCTAATAGATCTATTACTCATTACTTTGCTCTCCAGGATCTTCTTCTTATAACATACCAGCTGTAAGTTCTAGGTGAAAGTGCTGGTTGTTTGTCCACTTCTGGACTTTAGTTTTGTTCTAGAACTTGAGTTTGGCTTACACATCCATTTTACCTCTGGCTTACATGCATGCAGACAGCTGGTTCCTTACTTCAAAAGCAGATGCACCCAGACTGAAGAAAACACCCCTTATTAGTCATCATTTATGATTTGCTTGTAAGAAGTGCAACGTGGATACAAATTCACCTTATCGCCAGGTCGAGTTATGACCTGTCAGTCGGAAGGGAACTGGGTCCTAAGCTGAGGACTCCATGTAGTTGCTAATATTTGGGCTTGTGGCTTTAGGCCTGTAAATTCTATGAACAAATGGCAATAGAGGTTTTGTGGTTCTCAAATTCTGACTATGTTTATTTGACCTGTTCTTTACGACTGTAACTTTCAGGGGATTGTAAGTGTAAGCAACATGAAGTTTTCTACCCACAATTATCTGAAATTAGGCATCTAAACCCCAATCTTCATCATCACTGTCCTGCTGGGTCATTAATGATGTCACATAAGGCTCACAGTCTGTTCATTCATTCTGTCCTATCCTATGCAATCCCTTCAATATCGTGGATTGAATCCGGTAAAGCTCCTTTGGCTTCTCTTATTAACATCCGTTAAAGGGTTTCTTTTGGACATTTTCGTTGCTTCAATCCCTTTATTTCTCATTAGAGTGCCTGTATTTGGTAGTTGTCTGCTCCTTTCTTCTCAAGATGTGTACAGCAGAGGCTGTGTCTAACAACTGCTGTTACCAGTGGTTGCCCAGACATTTCTCTTCCCCCCCCCCCCCTCCTTCCCCTCCATCCTTAGATTAATTCCAATTATCTTTAGGATTTGGCGAAACCACCATTTTCTGGCTACAAAAACTCCATAGTAATTGACACCTGGTGGACATGAATGAGATAGACACCATTTAACAAAGCCCTTATTTGTCTTCTTCTTCTTCCCAGAATAGCACAGTTGGAACATTGCTTTGTGGTTGAGTTAGGCTCTAATATCTGCCCTCTTTGATCCAATATACCTGGTTTCATCAGTCATCTTTTATGACTTGTCTGTTAAAGGGCAGCGGGTCTACACCCACCCCCTCCCCCCTTAAATGTGACCCTGAAACCCAAAAGACAATTATCCCCAAGTAAAATTAATGTGATCTGAAAACATAATAATCAACAAATGCAACTGCCACTTGTTTGTGAAACATCAAATGACCCGACAAAAACAACATACTGTCATGACAGGTCTTGAGTGTACCACCAACACTATCTCTCTCTCCAAGAAATTCAAGGATGGAGTACAGACGACATCCTCTGCTACAGCAACCGCCGGGTAGACTCTTGAATATTACAAGAAACACTTTCAAATTAGGACTTTCTTCAATTCTCATGGCTTAAGTGTAATATTTTTGTACAATTTTTTTGACAAGTAGGAACTAAAGTGGCACGTGGCAAAGAAGGCCCAAACAAAAATAAAGGGATTCTGAAGAAAAAGTTATTACCAAGGATTACACGTGGTGGGTTAATTTAACAACTGCAACTGTGGAGCAAAATAAGTTAGGGAAGGCAACAGACAGTTCTTGTCCTGCCTAGTATCACAACCATTATGAACAAACTGAATAACCTATTCTTGGTATAATTGTCTCATTTCTTCCAGCAACAGTCTATGTCAAGACACTCATGATTTAACCACTAAAAGAAGACAGATATAGCATGGAATTGACTCTAATTGGAAAAATTAATCAATCAAGAACTGACATCATCACTGCATTCAGGATATTCCCAGACATGCTCTATCCCCTTGCTCAGCAGCCAACAAAGAGCTCCCATACCGATGGTGGAAGGTGCAACCTGATTAAAAGTTTGCTTGTCTTTCCTCCTGTAGAAAACTGCCCAGTTCCTCTGACCACTCCCGGCAAAATCAGTCTTGTAAGCTATGGATACTCTGTCTCACTCCACTGCCCACTTGATCCCAGAAAGCCTTCACCAAATCTACAAAGGTGTGACAGCAGCCAATCTATCAGGCTGATCCTCATCCCGCACACCAGAGTACCAGGACATGTTCCTGATCTAAGTATATGATAAACTCAAGGATGCCAGTAACTCAGTCATGTATATATATATATATAACCTAAAAAAAAAAACAATGTGCGCACAATATTTTGCTTCTAATTTCACTAGTAGTCAATATAAAAAAAACACCAACCAGAAAAATTAACTGGTCCCGATTTATGCGTGTGTTGTTGTTGTTCTCAGTATTTGCCAAACTGTAGAGTCCAAGCAGAAAAGTCTGGTTGTTTGTCCATTTCTGGATTTTGATCTAGAGCTGGACTTTTACATGCACATTTGTTTTACACATCAACTGGCCCTTGGTGGTTGATTCCATCAATATCCTGCCAGCCGTCTTTATTTCCCAGGACTTTACCTGGGACTCCTTTCATGCTAAGCTGACCTGGAAGCCAAGGTTATATTTGAAAACATCAGGCTGGACAACCGTTGGGCCCATAAGCAAGCGTCTAACCACTCATTACATTCATCATTATCATCTAGCCACTCATCATATTCATCATCACCATCTAGCCACTCATCCTCATCTAGCCACTCATCCTCATCTAGCCACTCATCATATTCATCATCACCATCTAGCCACTCATCCTCATCTAGCCACTCATCCTCATCTAGCCACTCATCATCATCATCTAGCCACTCATCATCATCTAGCCTCTCATTATATTCATCTTTATCATCTAGCCACTCATCATTATCTAGCCTCTCATTATATTCATCTTTATCATCTAGCCACTCATCATATTCATCATTACCATCTAGCCTCTCATTATATTCATCTTTATCATCTAGCCACTCATCATATTCATCATTACCATCTAGCCACTCATCAGCATCTAGCCACTCATCACCACCTAGCCACTCATCATCATCTAGCCACTCATCATCATCTAGCCACTCATCATCATCTAGCCACTCATCATCATCTAGCCACTGATCATCATCTAGCCATTCATTATATTCATCTTTATCATCTAGCCACTCATCATTATCTAGCCTCTCATTATATTCATCTTTATCATCTAGCCACTCATCATATTCATCATTACCATCTAGCCACTCATCAGCATCTAGCCACTCATCATCATCTAGCCACTCATCATCATCTAGCCACTCATTATATTCATCATTACCATCTAGCCACTCATCATATTCATCATTACCATCTAGCCACTCATCATCATCTAGCCACTCATCATATTCATCATTACCATCTAGCCACTCATCATCATCTAGCCACTCATCATATTCATCATTACCATCTAGCCACTCATCATCATCTAGCCACTCATTATATTCATCTTTATCATCTAGCCACTCATCATATTCATCATTACCATCTAGCCACTCATCAGCATCTAGCCACTCATCAGCATCTAGCCACTCATCATATTCATCATTACCATCTAGCCACTCATCACTATCTAGCCACTCATCAGCACCTAGCCACTCATCATCACCTAGCTACTCATCATCATCTAGCCACTCGTCATCATCTAGCCACTCATCATCATCTAGCCACTCATCCTCATCTAGCCACTCATCATCATCTAGCCACTCATCATCATCTAGCCACTCATTATATTCATCTTTATCATCTAGCCACTCATCATTATCTAGCCTCTCATTATATTCATCTTTATCATCTAGCCACTCATCATATTCATCATTACCATCTAGCCACTCATCATCATCTAGCCACTCATCATCATCTAGCCACTCATCCTCATCTAGCCACTCATCATCATCTAGCCACTCATCATTATCTAGCCTCTCATTATATTCATCTTTATCATCTAGCCACTCATCCTCATCTAGCCACTCATCATTATCTAGCCTCTCATTATATTCATCTTTATCATCTAGCCACTCATCATATTCATCATTACCATCTAGCCACTCATCATCATCTAGCCACTCATCATCATCTAGCCTCTCATTATATTCATCTTTATCATCTAGCCACTCATCATATTCATCATTATCATCTAGCCACTCATCAGCATCTAGCCACTCATCACTTCTTCTTCTTCTTTCGTTCGCATGAAATAAATTGTCTATATCTGCAAAGCCGTCTCTTGTATGAATTTCACTGTCTTTTGTAATTCACTAAGCGGCCCGTAAAGTTTGACTTCCACAAGTGTCTCTTTTGGCCAAATGTTTTGCCTGAAAGCGTTGAATATGGGACAGTCTTGAAGGATGTGATCTGTTGTTTCAGGTGCCAGTCCACAAGTACACATGGCCGATTGGCCAATCTTAAATTTGTTGTACATGTGGGAGCGAAGTCTATTGTGCCCTGTTCTAAGGCGAAGGATAATAACTTGCTCTGGTCTGTCCATAATATGGTAATCATCTTGTGCCAGTTTCAGTGGCATTCTGATTGATTTGATCATTCTCTTCTTCTGTTGATAAGAGACTGGTATGTCAGGTTGTTCTTCAGTTGCACCTTCCTTAGCTAGTTTATCGGCTTTTTCGTTTCTGGGAACTCCACAGTGGGAAGGTATCCACTGCATTACTAATTTACAGCGGTTGCCTAGTTCGGATAATAGTGTCCGTATGCTTGGTAATTTTCCAGACTGGAGTGACTGAAGTACTGCTTTTGCATCTGTCAGGAATACCACTGGTTGTGAAAAATACCCTGTATTTAGTAGTTTCTCTACCGCTATCTTGATGGCTTGAACTTCTGCATCATAGTTGTGACAGTGCTTTCCCGTTGGTAATTTGGCTGTATCCCTAGTATTATTAGGATACTCAATGTACACTCCTGCACCTCCGTTTCTGACTGCGCTTTCTGCTGACCCATCTATGTAAACACGAACCCAAAGGTTCTGCGGGTATTCATCATCAAGAAAACTGAGGGTGGCTGTTTTGCGCTGCACACTGTTTTGTTCTTCCTTGTCAAATACCCCTTTCACTTCAGTCTTGATGTGTATTGGAAACTTATACTCCTCTCTCCAGGGGGTCCGTTCTGGGACAGCATTTAAGGATCTATCAGTTGCAGGTAAATCAGTGGTTTGTCTGCCGAGCCGTTTGGCCTGGTGGATAAAACTACTTCTCTTTAGTCGTCCCAAAGCTAAATTTTTGAATCTTTCATTCATAGGGTGACTGGGCATACTAAGAAACTTTTCTGCTTGTAAAAGCATCTTGGTGTCTCTGCGTTCACTTAGTGCTTGGGTCATTCCCATTTTCTCCATCACAGCTATAGGTGTTGATTTCATACTGCCTGTGGTAACTCTGAGTGCTTGATTTTGCACTTTGTCTAATTCTTGCAATGTGGTTTTTGATGCCGAACTCCATGCTGTTGATCCGTATTCAAGATGTGGTCGAACACTTTGTTGGTAAACTTTTCTAAGTATTTTCCCGCTAGCACCCCATGTGGTTCCACTTAGTTTTCTCAGAATGGCTACCCTCCTTCTGGCTTTGGTTGCTGCCTTGTTGATGTGTTTTCTCCATGTTAATCTACCACTCATCACTATCTAGCCACTCATCATCGTCTAGCCCCTCATCATCATCATCTAGCCACTCCTCATCATCTAGCCACTCATCATCATCATCTAGCCACTCCTCATCATCTAGCCACTCATCATCATCATCTAGCCACTCATCATCATCTAGCCACTTATCATCATAATCTAGCCACTTATATCATCTAGCCAATCATCATCCTCATCTAGCCACTCCTTATCATCTAGTCACTCATCATCATCATTTAGCCACTCCTCATCATCTAGCCACTCATCATATTCATCTAGCCACTCATCATATTTATCTAGCCACTCATCATCATCTAGCCACTCATCATCATCATCTAGCCACTTATCCTCATCTAGCCACTCATCATCATCTAGCCACTCATCGTTATCTAGCCACTCATAATCGTTTAGCCACTCATCATCATCATCATCATCCAGCAACTACAAAAGATAAAATTAAAATTCCTAACCTGTAGTTTATGGTGATGCCATGCAGACTTCGCTCCTCAGTCTTAAGATCCCATGTCATACACTACTCTAAAAAGCGGTATATACTTAAAATACAGCCCCCCCCCCCTCCTTCCATCAACAACAGGTGCCCAGTTAGTTTGCTAATAGTTCACAACTAACACAATGATTGACTACAGCAGTATTCTAATAGGAAGGTTTATGACCACTTACAAGTGTACTGTTTAGCCGCTGTAGTTATCTGGTATGTTTTGTACGCTGCACAAGCTAAATAAGTAGTTACTAATCTTGGTAGATGTCGTAGCAAAACGATTAGGTTGGTAACGTCGCAATAGGATCGGTTTTGAGATTCCATGCTTCGATTTTCCTCTTTGAGATCATCCCTGGAGTTACAGAGATTGTCTGTTTGTAACTTAGACTTACGACTTTATTCATTTATGCGGCTAGCCGCTCTGCGGCCACAAGACGAGCCTTATGACATAATAATACTATGCGATACAATGAAATAGACCCTCCCGATTTCAAACATGTTTGGTGCTGAAATTCCTGGTATCGCCAGATTTATAGAAATAAAATATAACGACATATGAAAACAATAACAAAGACTTCTTTCATTCTTTCACGACCAACATCATCATCATCATCTACGGCAGTTGTCCGCGGGACATACAACAGACAGAATAAACACACGAAAGACTACCTTCTCGTAAGTATGCAGTGGGTAGGTTTTATGGCAGACCTCCTCGCATGGATCTATCTCACTAATAAAACTCTCCAGCGAGGTAGCCGAAGCCGGAGACAGCGCACACACCAAGACAAAGTAAAACAACGTCTGCGATCCCATGTCCACCATTTTGTGACGGTAGGGGTCCAAGCGGCCATTGGTCGATGCTGATCACATGACAATAATATTTTGTGTTGTAGTGTTGGCTGTTGATGACTCGGGAAAACCCCTGGGCCAGCAACCAGTTAGTGGACAGGTCCGGCTAGGGACTGGACACCTGGACAGACAGATGATTGTTATAACTTTAGCTTTCCTGTGGGTGAAGAAAATCTCCGCCACATATGTTGTCATAAAATGGGATTCCTAAAGAATGGACAGGAAGATGGAGTTAGGTCGCTTCAGTCTAGTTGCCTGGGTTATGAAAGCGTGTTTGTAAATGAGCATGTAGAGGCATTTGTTGGACTGATTCCGCTTGTGGTGGGGGAAAGGGGGTGTCACATGTTGGAGGTTAGGGGAGCTCAGTAGATTTGGCTGGGGGGGGGGGGGGAAGAGAGAAACCGACTTAAAATGTTTCTAAGGGTATCGTATATTTCAAGTGTATAATAATAATAGTAATGTGTAAACAGCACATTAATGAACTTAAATGTATTTAAAACAATATAACATGCATATGTCAATACAAAAGGAGAACCGTTACTCTGTTAAGGGGCCGATTAAACCTCTTACACATTTTCTAGGGGGTAGGAGCCCAGCTACAATTGTTCAGGGCGAGGGCCTCTTAAGGGGTCTAGGCCTCCAGGTTCTGATTCCCCCGACTGTGTATAACTTCTTGTGTGCGTGCCCTTCCGTGTCATGGTGCCAAAATTGGCAACACACTCTCTGTGTAGCTCGGCCTCTCTCCCGTTCAACTTTCTTGTTGTTAGACGCTTGTGTTATTTTTCTGTTCTTTGTCATGCCCACACAAATGTGCATTATCTTCTTTAGGCGCAAGTAATGGGGTAAACCAGAGACAAGCGAAATATTTCAACTGCACAAACAGACATAATACTTCTGCACACTTTCAGTTATGATATCTGACTCAAGATACCTTCTGGATATCCTGAGTGTTTAGTTAAGAACCTGATATCTCACAACTGGGTCACTCCCATAACCGCGCAGTCCTCATATTCAGCAGCCTACGAAGAGTTTCAAATTCTGATGGTGCCAGCAGCATTTTTAATCTGTCCGTCTTGCTTTTCCCCTGAGTGTATAATCTCGACCAGCTCCCTTAATGGTACCACGCTCTCAAGACCATAGAGATATATTGTTACCCTCGTATTGTTCACTTAATCTCAAAGGGCATTGACCACGTCTAGCTTGCCATCCATAAATTTACCTTCCATTAGTGCGGAGCAGCCAGTCTGACTGATTGTTTATTTCCCAACACTCCTTCATTCACTGAGAAAATATCTAAAGAACGTTTCCTACCCAGGAACTCTGAAGCGATGCTTGCCACTTTGCACGGATTATGTCAGTCTCAAGTACTGGTTCTGCTTGTCGTTTGCTTGATATCTTTTCAGGATATTGTAGATATTAGAGAATAAATCACAAAAGTGATTGGGAGAGAGAGAGAGAGAGAGAGAGAGAGAGAGAGAGAGAGAGAGAGAGAGAGAGAGAGAGAGAGAGAAGAGTGGTAGTCGAAGATCGAATCCAGCCATCCTTTATAACGGAGAAAGTACACCGGCTCGGCCCTTATTTTAGTTTTAGTTTTAACTTGGTTGTCTCACATCTGCACAATGACTGTGAGCTTGGTGTTTCTTGTTACGCCACCTTGAGGAAGAATTTCTCCGATGGATTTTCTGTACATGTTGAAGAAAATAATCCGCTTAACTTTAGGGGGAAAAAAGCTTGACAAAAAAGTGGATGGGGGAGAGAAACGACACACAAGTGGTAAGGCCTGTATGTAATTCTTGTAACTGCCACTTAGACATTCTAATTGATCACGCCTCACCGCTGGAACCTACACACACAAAATCGAACGTTTCGACTGGATTCTGTCTCGACACAAACCACACACTGTTAAACTCTAATAACCGTCCCAATATGAGACGCAATTTTTCATTATTTCAAAACTCCCTACGACTGTTACCAGGGGTCCTGATACAACCCAGCCTATGGGTTGAACGAGGTTTATGAGACCTGTCCCCGGGTGATCCAAATGGTGTCACTTTGTGTCACCGGATGTTTATCGCTCGGTTTGATGCCCTAGTGGGAATGAACGTCAATCAATCAACCAATCACACATGATTCTGGGACCTCAACCCACTTACCGAAGGAAGCTGTCCTAGTACAATTTTTCAGGGAATGAGTTCCTCTAGGGACCAGAGCCTCCAGCTCAGTGTCAAGAAAGTTTCAGACCGAAACGTCCGATACTACTTGTGTGTGTACACTGTCCCAGTCCTCTCTTCGCCAAGCTCCTGAAGTCAAAGTTGAGTGGAATAATTTCTTGCTATCAACTTGACTGCAGTCTCACCTTTTTCATCTCGTATTCAAGAGTATGTTTCTATCAGCACACAAGACACGCGTCAGACTGTTCTCATTTGGCCAGGGTAACAATGTTTTTTTTTTTTTTCTGCCAGCCTGAGTCATATCCAGCAAAGCGAGCTACTTCATGAATAACAGATTTTCATTTCCCAATATACTCTGACAGTCCAGTTTCCACGCAGCTGTGGTCTGGAGTTTGTATTTAGTTTCAGTCAGCCTACAGTTCAACAAGTCCACGTAAATGGGATTCCC